AACAGCCGTGTTCTGAGAAAAAAATAAGAAACCATGTGTTTATACAATATAGAATTCTTCTTCCACATACTCATTCTAAAGCAATATTTTGCTATGTAGTGAGGATTGGATGAATATAGCGCATAAGAATTTTTATAGCATATAACCAAATTCCAATCATATTTTATACTGGTCTAAATCCAGAGTCAATGAAGGAATTCCAGATTTACACTGGAGATGCTAAACTCAGTATCAGACTCATTGTGTTTGAGTAGTTTGGAAGTATTTGGGAACACTTCTTATACCTCTCTTGCCATTCTTTCTGATCTGAGAGAACTTAATATCTCCTTTACAACCATCAAGGCAAAAAAGAAGTAGAAAACCTATTTTGGTACAAATATTGATCTTGAGAATGTGCCTCAGTTGTCAAAAAGGGTTTGGATTTCCCCTCACAAGCTCCCCTCTAGGCACTGTAATACAACGTGGAACAAAATGAGGAAGAAATGGGGGCTGTCTCCATAGCATGCATCCTTCTGACCCGACCATGGGGAAGTCTCTATGAGAATTTAAAGGGATTATTCTGGGCCTGCAGAGAAGAAGATGCCTGGAAGTGACAGGCTGGTGGTGTGCAACACTGGACATAGTAAGCTTGTCTATGCAGACTGTGAATTTCCTAGTTGGTGAAACCAGCAGTAGCTCCTCCTCTATACCTGCAGTCCATTTTGGCAAGGGTAGCAGGGTGCAGGTTAGTGACTAAAGCCAATTGCTTGTAATGGGGAACCATTCCACTAATAAGTGGAAAACACCTTCAGGGAAAGAAATTAGAGTCCATGCATTCAGAGTAACTTTCACATTAGACTGACTGATTTGACTAGCATTCTCCTATGAGGAAGAGTATCTTTTATGACTGGTGTATTATCCTCCCATGGGTTTATTTTCTAAAGAATATTTTGTCAGCCTTATTTTGGATCATTGTTAGACAGTGTACGTTGGGCCTAATGTCCAGAATGTCCTCTTCAGATCCCTCATGGTCAAGTGCAATAACCTAGCTAAAAAATTATAGGTCATATTCATAGCCGTACATTTGGATATGCTCATGTTCACATGGGACCACAGCTTCAAATTAAATATTAAATATGTTTAGAAGAGAAAAATTCCAACAAAATACACAAATGCAATTAGCTCGTGTTGTGGCTAATTTGAAAGTGATGGGCTTGTTGGATTTTTTGTTTAGTTTTACCTGCAGAAACATCTTAAGGGCCAGTGTGTGGCCCTTGCTCTGGCTGCTTTGCACTGTTCTAGCACAGCAGAACTACCATAAAGCCAGTTTAAGCTGCTAACAGAGGATTTCCTTGTTTAGGGGGATCTTGGGTGGTGTGAGGCTGGTATACTAGTACCTGCACACACATGCACACACATATACACATATGGTGTAAGGGTGTGGCTGGGCAAAAGGGAGCATGGCCTGGAAGCTGTTATGTCCAGCTGAGCCTTGTCTGTCAGAACATACCCTTGGGATCAGGGGCAGCTGGGTGTGAGATAAAGTAGGCTCAGGCTGCTTCAACTTACACAGTGGGTTGGCCCCAGATCAGGGGAGTGTAAAGATGGTTTAAAATTTCCTTTTCTTTCCCTCACATCTGGGTAAACCCTGAGGGTATTGTGGGAAGAGCAGAGAATTTGTCCCTAAAGCTGTCACCCTCTGAGGGGAGATGGGATGCTTATGCTCATGTGATTTGAAAATGACAAAAATATATAAGAAACAAAGGTTAAAATAAAAATACCTTTCTACCCAGAGATCATAGGGGAGATTTTCAAAGGTCCAGTTCCCAGCTGAAATTGAGTGTGATTCAGCCAGGAATAACATGACTCTTACTTTGGGGTGTAAAGAAAATCACTAAGATTTAGAGAATTACAAACTTATTATATTTCCTGAATGGGAGGAAACCTGTGGTTGGAGTTATTTATGTTTTAGACACGTTCTGACTTACGATTATTGTTCTTATTTATTGAGGACTGCTGGCACAGTGTTGTACAGAACACAGAGGAAGACACCAAGCAACGCAGTGTGCTCATAGTTAAATACCTACAGTCATCAAAAACAGCCCAAGACATTCTGAGTGCCTGCAACTTCCATGCATTTCAGTGATCAGTCTTCTGTATTAAATTCAGGGTTGTGTCCATATGCTGAATCAGCATTTTAATAAAGGTGTTACCATAACACTTTAGCTGAAATTCCTTGCATATTAATAGCCTACAATTACAAATACATCCTGAAAAGTATGATCAGTGTATGGCTTTGTATTCATTTTTAGCAGCAAACCCAAACTACTGTTTGTTATTATGTAGTCTTTATTTCTCCCTTCCCCCACCTTCTACTCCACCCCCACGCCCCACTGTCCCCAATTCAAAGATTAGCACTTTGATCCCTGCATCTTATTTCCAAGCAAATCCTGGCAAAAGAGCAATATGCACATTTAAACGCTCCCTGGTCAGCCTTGCAGGAAATGAGCACAAAACTGCACCCAATACAGGCACCACACAACAGTCTCAAGCAAACACATCCAGAAGCCACTTCTCCTCACACCATAATGAAAAAAGAAAACCCTCCCTGCCTTGTTACCATCTAAGTTTTTGTCTCATTTTGCCTTTTAATGCAACTAAGTAAATCCAAATAACTGGAGAGAAATGAATTATAAATGGAAGAAAAATGAGTGTACTATTAATACTACTCCCAGAAGGGGATAAAAGGGATCAGAAATTTTATCCCATGGTGCAGCTGAGAACTGACAGACAGACTGGGCTGACATTCTGAGGCCACACTGTTTTCATAAGGGAAAGAAAAATCCCTTATCGACGTGAAGTGATATTTTAACCACTCTTGTAGACGTATGTTTAAGAGCCTGTCTACAGCCCTGCACAACACATTTTGTTCCAGGAGATTGGGGCGTTTTTGAATAATATAATAGCTCGTAAGAGGCACAGTCCTAAAATGGAAATGTGGGATGTTAAAATGATGGTTAACTCTGCAAGCAACTGATCTCTTCTTTAAGTCATATGAAATATGCCCATATAAAACAGGGAGTAAACAAAATTCTGTGCTTAACAATCTCCAGGCTCTTCAGCTTTCCCACAGAACTGACCCCTATAACTATAACAGAGTGATATGGATGAATAACAAAGCTCTGCAGAAAAGTACAGATTGACCCAGCCGTGACCTTCCTGAAGCCAGGTGCAGCAGGGACACACATAGTCTGGCACATTCCATTTTAATTTTGCTTGGGTAAAGAGCTGATAAAGTCCCATCTAGTCCAGTGCTTTCATTCTGGTGGGAATTCCAGGAGATAAGAAGAGTATTTTCTAAATTATTTACTAATAGCAGATTTGGAAAAAGAAAAGCAGCCCAGTGTATTTGGCTTAGGGCTGGGGAGCTATCTTCTCCCCCGCTCCATCCTCAGCCAATAAGGAGATCACTGCTGATCATCCCCCATTTTTTTAATTCCTCACACAGGGCCTGATCCTGTTAGGTGCTTAGCACCAGCCGCTCCTGTCACCTTGAGCCCCAATTCAGGAGTGCACTTCAAAACATGCTGTAGTATTCCATCCCTGTTCGGGACAGAACTGAAGCAAGTGCTTAACTTTAAGGGCATCCTTAGTCAAATTGACTTCAAAGCAACTTAATATAGGGGCTTAAATTCTTTTGTGAATTGGGGATACTTTCCTAAACGTGGACCTTGCTCTGCACCAGTCAAAGTCAGGCCCTAATAGTGGAGGTTAATTTTAGGAACTGACACTTGTCACATTGCATTCAAAGGGGATAGCTTCCAAAGGTGCAGGATAGGGCCTTGATCTTAAAAGGGACATTGTCAACTTGAAGTCCAGTAAATTACAGAACAGGGATTAAAAATAGTTTCAGGTACTCTTCCTGGCCTTGAGTCTCCTTGCGAATTTGTATCGCTTTACAATGAGATTTTTCAAAGGCTTTTCTCCCCCGCACCTCTGCCCTGTGAGAAAAACCCACAAAAACCACAGGTAAAACTGAACTAACTCACTGACTGCAAAGTGGAACTGTGCTGGAAACTACCCAAAGTAAATGAGCTGAAGAAACAGAGAGAAATATTTGTTTTCCTCTAATATCCTAGTAATATTCAGTGTCACTGTAACAATAATAGGTAAAAAGAGTTCTGGAAAAAAAGTGTGTTTTAAGACACCGTGTCTAAGGAATTGATCCTGCTCCATTAAGGTTAATGGGAATTTTCCGTTGATTTGTATGGGAGCAGGATCAAGCCTTAGGAGTAAGTTGACAGCATCTTTTTACAATCATGAAAGCTGTAGGACAAGATTTACAAAAATGACTAGTGATTTGGGAGGCCTCAATTTTGGGGGCTCATCATGAGACCTCTGGAAGGGGCCTGTTTTTCAGAGGCAGGGTGCTTAGAGTTTTCTGAAAACCAGGCCCTTTTCACAGTATCTCTAGTTGGGCACCAAAAATCGCTACCTTCTTTTGAAAATCTTGGCTCTGTGATTTGGGGAAGTGGAACAGGTGAAGGATAATAACAAAAAAAGCTAATGACTCTGCTTTGATTAAGGTAAAGCTTATACATTTATTTCATCGCCTCCTTTGTATTTCACTCTTTGGTGAATTTACTACAAATAAATCATTTCTTGGCTGAAATAAACCCCAAACCATCCAAGGAACAAACATATTCCAATTGCCAACTCCAGAGGAAACAGGGAGACAAATAAACCTCCCCAGAAATCTGGTGAGTGGAGTTCAATTCTTATTAGTATTTTATACAAAAGGAAGAAAAAACACACAACTCAGACGGAGAAGGTCTGCTGCCTCTCAGCTCCCTCAATGACACTCAATACTGTGTTTCCTTTTGTGATCAGGTAATTATTCACTCTTACCACCATTTATTCACATAAAACAAGGAAGCACTATTCCCTCTACCTTAGCCACAAATAAAAAGGCAACAGTTTGTGAGAAGTACTAATCTGCAGGTTTGCGCTCCACAACTTACCTCCGATAGTTTGTCTGAATATTAATGAGTTACTTAGCTCATAATGACATGCTGGCCTATGAGATTCAGACAGACATGGACGCTGTGTGATTTTAGTTTCACCTACATTGAATTTGGATGGCAGAGCAGTCTTCCAGCAGGGTGAAATGCTGACGAGGACAGCAGCCAACAATCCTTACCCAAGAGACAGAACACAGCAGCAGCATGACCTCCTTTTACTGGCCCAGTGACCAAGAAGTACAAGACTAGTCTCAAACTCATGGGTTCACAGCAGCAAACTCTTTATCAGGAGCCAACAGGCTGGTCTCCTATAACATTTTCATCTGTGACCTTTCCTTGCCCCCTCCCCAGCTTTTCATGATAAGATGAATCTTCCTTAACTGTCAGAAGCTGCTCTCTTTAGCATGTTATGCTTAGTGTTTAAGGCATGAGTACATATTCAGTTGTGAACATGCTGAATTTTAAGCAGCTGCAATTAGTTGCAGGGGGAGGGAAGGGTGAAGAGATTTAATAGGTTCATGTTTAGTCTATAGAAGGCTACCTTTAATGTTCTGAGATATACTAAGTTCCTGTGGATCCTTCTGTGGATTTTCACTACAGGACCCCATTGACTTTCATGGAAGTTCCTTGCACGGAATGATGGTGGGACATGGCTTTGAGAGATCGGCAGCTACACGAGGAGACACACAATGTACAATGAAACCAGAGTTGTCAGATGTCCGTTTTTTGATCGGAACGCCCGGTCAAAAAGGGACCCTGGCAGCTCTGGTCGGCACCACCAACCAGGCCATTAAAAGTCCAGTGGGCAGTGCAGCAGGGGCCCAGGGCTAAGGCAGGCTCCCTACCTGCCCTAGATCCGCATGGCTCCTGGAAGCAGCCGCTGGGTCCCTGAGGCCCCTAGGCTCGGGGCAGTCAGGAAGGCTCCACACGCTGCCCTGACCCCCAGTGCTGACTCCACAGCTCCCATTGGCTGGGAACTGCTACCAATGGGAGCTGCGGGGGCGGCGCCTGCAGGCGCAAGGGCAGCGCGCAGAGCTGCCTGGCCACCCATGCGCCTAGAGGCTGCAGGGACCTCAGAGCCATGGTAAGTACTGCCGGGACCCTGAACCCCCTCCAGCACCTCAACCCCCTGCCCTGGACTAGAGTCCCCTCCTGCACCCCAAACCTCTCATCTCTGGCCCCACCCCAGAGCCCACACCCCTAGCCAGAGTCCTCACCTCCTTCCACACCCCAACCCCCTCCTGTGCCGCAAACCCCTCATCCCCGACCCCTCTCCCACCCAAAGCCTTCCCCCCCTCCCGACACACACACACTCCAATCCTTTGGCCCAGCCTGGAGACCCCTCCTGCATCCCAAACCCCTCATCCCTGGCCCCACCCCCAGCTAGAGCCCTCACCCCCACCCCTGCACTACAACCCTCTGCCCCAGCCCGGAGTCTCCTCCCATACCCCAAAGCCCTCATCCCTGGCCCCACCTCAGAGCCCACACCCCCAGCTGGAGACCATACCCCATTCTGCATTCCAGACCCCTCAGCCCCACCTGAAGACCTCTCCTGCACCCCAAACCCCTTATCCCCAGCCCTACCCCAGAGCCTACACCCCCAGCTCAAAGCCCATACCCCTCCCACACCCCAACCCCCTGCCCCAGCCCAGTGAAAGTGAATGAGGGTGGGGAAGAGTGAACAACAGAGGGAGGGGGAATGGAGTGAGCAGGGAGCAGGGCCTCAGAGAAGGAGCGGGACAGGGGCTTTCAGTTTTGTGTGATTAGAAAGTTGGCAACCCTAAATGAAACACACAGGGAAATATTTGTAGTCTGATTATCAGTGGGCCAACCTCTATTTCCATGCAAAGCCTGCATAATTGAGCCAAGTGCCAGGAAGAGCTGTGGAGGCTGATGGGGAAATTATCTGCACGCTGAGGCTGTGAACAGCAGTAGAGCTGTTCCACAGCTGTGACACCTGGCTGCAGTAACTTCTATAGTTCCCATGCTCCCTCTCTTCCACGCTGCCTATTTATACCCCTTGACTCCCTCCTAGAGCTTTCTGCCTATAGTGCCCCTTCTTCCCGCTCTGTACAGAGTTTGCTGACAATGTCTACCATGACCTGTTTTCCCCTCTCCACTTCCAACAACCTCTTCTGTTTCTGCCCTGTCACTAATAGCAAATGTTCTCCATACCTGTGACCCCTTCACCTGTCCCTTGCTCACCTCCTTTCTGAGTTCCTGAGCTCCCTCATGTTCACCTTCACCCCCTCCCTTGGCTCTCACTTGTCTCTGGTTCCTCATTGTCACAATACAAGCATGACTTGATCTTCCCCATCCTCAGAAAGTCTTCTTTTTGACCCTCCTTGTCTCTCCATCTAGTACCCCATTTTCCTTCTTCCCTCAATTCCCAATTCACTGAACCTCGAGTTCGTCTCATCCTGCACCATCCTCAACTCCTTCTACTCTCGTTTATACCTCTCTGCTCCACTGGAACTGCTCTCACTAAGATGGCTAATGACTTCTTCCTGGCAAAATGCCAGAGACTCTATTCTGGCTTCATTCCCATCAACTTCTCTGTTGTTTCTGTTGATCTATCTTTCCGTCTCACCATCTTATCTTCTCCATGACTCCATTGTGTCTTCATCCTCCTCCCATCTCTTTGATCATTTCTTCAGCAGCAATTTCAGTGTGTCCTTCTCCTCTTCCATCCATGGTTAGAAGTAAGCTGTGTTCCCAGCTTCAGTTATTTTCAAAACTTGCCAAACACAAATGTTTGTATCTTTAAAAGTGCTGACCTGATTTTCTTCAATCTTGACATTTTCTGAAGATCTCATTGAGATCTAAAAGTGAAGTCATATTAGAAAAAAAAATCAGTTCCATAATTATAAAGTTATGGTGATTTATCCTTGACAAGCCATAGGGCCACCTTTACTTATGGGTGCTAAAGGCTTAGTTTGACTCCCATTGACTAAGCTCTTCTAATGGTACCTGTAAGGGCATCAAAGTACTTACATGCTTTTGTCATCTTTTGGTCAGCTGGTGCGTTATAAGCATCCTTAGGCAGCACTAGTTGGTCTTTGGCAAATGGTTCCTTTCCATGCCAACTTGCCTCTGTTCTTCTTCTTTTCTAGCCCAGATTCATGGGTTTTGCTTCAAGTGGAAGTGAGCATGAAGCTTGTCTTTTTTATGTAATTACTTTTTAGCTTCTGTATTGCTGAAAGATCTGAAACCTAGGTATTGCTTTATTTCAGGATGCTTCTCCACCCTCCTGCCCAGGCCAATGAGGATTAGGATTTGGTTCTTTTGTAGAAGGAAGTGCACAGTGATTGACACCCTATAGCTAAAATAGTAGCTACTTGATTATCTAGGTCCTGATGTGAAGCCATAGATAGAGTCCCACTGATTACAATGAACTTTCTTTAGATCAGTAGTATTGCTGGTAGCTTTTGAGGAAGTTATTTGTGTGAATGGGAAGGTGACATGGCAGCCACCTCATAAGAGGAGAGAAAGCAATGGAAGGACACTTCAGGATGAATATGTAGGTCATTAGCTATGATTGAGATTTCAAAGAGCCAAATACAAATAAATACCAGAAGACTGGTGAGTATGCAAAGATTCAGAAGTGCTCTCTCTCTTTTCTACCTTAGTATTGAATTTATTTTGTGAAGGCTGATGGGATTCCCCAAAGAAATGCCAACATGAAAAATTTATTTTAATATATTTTGAGAAGTCTTGATGATGTTTTGTTGTGCCATAAAACTCAGTACAGTATTTAACATGTAACACTGTGTGTTTTTGTGCACTGTCAGCAGATCTGAGTAAGTAAGTAATAGAGAATTATGTACCCAGTGAAATTAACTTTTTCCCTGTGCATCAGTTGTCTGCAAGCAGTTTACAGATTTCTAACATTTCTTTGTTATTTAAAATTATTCTGTGAATAATGTGTACAAGAATCTTTTCGTCTGAAGAACAGATTGTTCGTAAGCAGTTTGTTATGAGATGTTGATATCTGAGCTGCACCAGTTTGTTTTGATTGGACACATAGGGCACGCATTTCTATTGCTGCTTCCTGACTGACTGAGCTAGAATCTACTAAGCACATTCATGTTAATGAATTTAAAATTTGATTTTTGCAAAGCGTGTTAATATTTGCTTAAAGTTTGCTATATCTGCCAGTACGGCTGCCATGAACTTGTGTGTGAAAAGGAAAGAAGGGCCCAAACCCAGCTGAGGCAGATTTATTTATTTATGCTGGTGAATATTTACAGATTTTTTAAAGATATTTGCTCAACCCTAATTGTCAGGTTATGTCTGCTCAGGTCATGGAAGAGTGGGTCAAAAATTATGAGAAAAAAATTGTTTTAGGATGATATTTCAATTACAATTTAAAGAGTCCCACCATATCCTGGGATCTGTCTGTTGCACAATGTGATATTGCATTCCCCACTGCCCCGAGCATGGGTAGTAAGGGAGTGTTCCAGTAATTATGTCAAATCCCCAGTGCATTTTGAAGTAAACTATCTAGAATAACAAATGTTAATAGCATGTCACTCTTCCATCTCCCAAGTATAAATGAATAAATTGTGGTGATGCTATGGGGATGCCTGCTCAACTCAGTGAACTGGGAGGTATGTGCCCAGTGTCTGCTTTATTTAACAGGAGTTATGCATGTAACTTGCTGCCCCACCATTATAAATGTGTGGCCCTTTATTCCTGCTACTCACATTAGGTCCAAGTTGCTGCATCAGTCCAAACAGCTTTTCATTCTTACTCTGCCCTGCACTCAAACAAAGTAGTATTTTTTTTACATAAACTGTATATAAAATCCCAAACATGAACTTAAGCCCCCAAAATGTAGCTTTTTAATTTTAATGGTGAAAATGTTGCCTTTGGAGAAAAAAAACTTGAAAGAGATAAGCAAATTAAATTACATTCCTCTGTGGACTCAAATGTCTTCTCCTCACTGTGAAAGTTGTAAGGGGTATTCTTATAAAATACAGATTCCCATAGGGGAATTAAAAGCAATTAAAATAACATTAGCATTTTCCATAACTTTACAATGCTTATGTGTGTTATAAAATCATACAAATTATTGAAAAGTTATTTGTATTAAGATTATGGACTATGGAGATAATTTGCATGATTTAGAGGCTGCAACTACAAATTGTGAGTAGGCGAATTGAACCATGGTTTACTAGATTGGCATCTAGAGTTGTGACAACTAGCCTATAGCTGGATACTTTGCTGAAAAATGTTAG